TGAGAGTGAAGGTTTTGACCTTTGCAACTTGAATTAACAAAGGAATACACAAATTGTCATGCCTGTGCAGGACTGCCGAATGACGCCTTGCCGACCCAGTTGCTGTTCTCATTTTCCTCTTTTTCTTCTTTCACCAGACATATATGATATATATTTGTTAAGTAACTCAATTATTTATCAATTTTATAAAAAATAAAATACAGTAAATAAATTAAATTAGAATGTCTTGATTTATAATTTAATCGGTAAAACATGTGTTATTGGATGGGGTGAGAGTCTCACATCGTCTAATGAATATGGTTGTACAATTCAATATAATCTAAATTACATAATATTTTTTATTAAATTAAAATTCAATTCTTATCAATATGTTTATCAATATGTTGATTCAAGTATAAAGAGTTTGTATTATTTAAATAAGATTTCAAATTTGAATATTACAAATGAAGAGACAGATATTAGGAGAATTTTTCCCTTATAAGATCTTAATTAAGATTTGATAACATTCGATTCGAAATTAATTAAAATTTAATATAATTCTAGGATGCTAGAGAATTTAGTATCCAAGAATAATTAAAATTCAATTTTTAAAGAGAAGCCATGAAACATGAATGATTTATATAATTTTTTAAAATAAAAATTTTAATTTGGATTAGAAAATTTTTTAGAATCGGTAACTTTTCGAGGTAACAATTTCTCTGGAAAGTCTAAAAACTTGAAAATGATGTTTGTTCTGTCACCATCTGTTTATGTGGTGCAAGACCCTCCCTGTTAATGGCATGCTACCATAACCCCAAGTGAACCTTAAAAAAACTTGTCAGTCGTCAAGCAATTTAATAATAAAAATTAGCAAAATTCAAAATGCCTTAATTTCCACATTAATGAATGTCAGCCTCCATGCCATCCTTAATTTCTACTACTAGGTAGCTAGGTCTGAGAATGATATAATAAAGTCTCCAATAATTTTCTACTCTTTTGAAGTTCCCAAAAGTCTCCCTTTCGTGGTGGAGGTAGATTATGGATATGATAATAATAACTTGATGTTCCTAAAAGTGTCTTTTCTTAATTTGTAGAGGTATATATATAGATTAAAATCTTTTGACAATTATGTCAATAACCATCACAATCTCCATCTTAATTTCTAAATAGTTGAGTAATCAAAGTTAGTTGAGCATGAAATTTTTGAAGCTAAATTGACAAAGTAAGATTCATTTTGAATAATAACAACACATCAATTAGAATCAAGAGAATCAAAAAAATTTGATTAGGATCACTAAGGTTCGAATCCTAAGTTTAGTACTATCACCTGCTTTCACAAGAGAGTGTGGTGTGGCCATATGCATGATTCATTAAATAATTTGATTTTGAAATTACTAGAATGAATAGGATAACCATCCAACTTTTTCAAACTAAGATCATGAATATGGTGACTAGGTGTCCAGTGCCCTTGATCCAATTAAAACCCACATGGCAAGATTTGTCTTCTTTCTTGCAACTGTAAGAAAAATCTTCAGAAAACATTCAAAGATAGAGAATTCTTGTAACTTGGAAATTGGAAAGATATATGTAATGAAACTGTGAAAGAGTTTGGTACAACATTACTCTGTTGTTTTTGTCATTCTCCTTTATGGTTTTTGGGTAATAAGCAAAACCGGTGTTTGATAAAAGACAAAAAAATTTTCAATTCTTTTTCCAGTTTCTAGTAGCCTATCCTTCTTTTTGAGATTTCCTGGGAGACAGTAGCCTTTTGAGATTAATCTGAGATTTATCAGCGTGTGCAACTCAAAGGAAAAACACCAATTTAGCTTAACTTTGGTTCTTTATCTCAAAAGCTGAAATAACTCTACAAAGAGGAATTCTTTATAGAATACATCTATTTCTATATATCAAGATCAGATGCACCTATACAAATTTTGTAGAGATCTAAATCATGCTGTAGATGATAGTAGCGTGGCACCTTTTATTTAAACCTGAATCTACTCAACCAAATAGAAACCTTAAACTATGCATTTATGTATTGCTTATACTTTGAGTAATAAATTTTTATTTGCAAACGAAAAGGAAAACTTGAACTTCTTGAGCAATTGAACTGGTTCTTAAAATTAGAGAGGCGTAGTTGGGTTGGGGAGAGTTAAATATGTTGAGTGGAAAAATCATATATAGATATATAGATTAAATACAGAAGGGTTACTTTATTTACTTGTAATTAGTTTTAAATTAGATATAAGTTTTATATTAAAACTTGCATAAGTGATTTTCATATGATATTAGAGTTTAGGCTCCGTTCTTGAGAAATCCATTGTTAGGCACTCAAAGTTGACACCAAATCTACATATAAGGGGTGTATGAAGCCACATGATTAAACTTGATATTCATAACAGACATGCATATGAGAGACGTGTTGAGTGAGAAAATCTCATATTTATATATGGGTTAAATACAATGAAGACAAGTCCATTTATTACTAATTAGTTTTAGATTGGATATAAATCTTATATTAAAGGCTGTATGCATGATTTTCAAAAAATGCACTTAAAATTCCAGCGAAAAGCTGGAAATTTATAATGGTAAAGTGAGAATCATAACACAAGGAAAGCATGTGACCCAAAAAAGAGGTAATTTCCAGATTTTGCTGGCAGTGGCCATGGCAAAGCCTAGTAGGGCAGCTACAGCAATAGGAATTAATTAAAGTATGATTAATTTGTTGCCGACTATGAAAAGTAGTAATGTGCTTTTGAAAATGTGAAGAAAACCAGACGGATTTCATGGGTTTCATTTATTTAATTTCACCAAAGTGCAAATGGACTTGCCCTTCAAAATGGGCAACCTTGAAAGTTCCATCACATGAAAGGTCTTACTTGGGACTAGAAAATGCTGAGGCATGGGATCAAGAACCCGCCTTTCTATTCCTTTATACCATATTCATCTTGTCACAAACTTAGATGGGAAAGATCAATGCAAGTTAGATCACTTACATAAGTTTTATATAAATTTTTTTATTCAGTTCCCATTGAGCTTGTCTTTCAACTTTCAATGACTGATATTAAAGAGAATGGTTGGATACTTGGATCCTAACATTTTGGGATTGCCCTTCAAAAGTTTCTACAAACCCAAATGACACAACGGCCAGCCCTGTTAGAAGTAGAAGCAAGAAATCTGGCCCAGCTCAAGGTTGGGCAGTGTGACCAACCTGGACCTCGAAAATTCAGAAGATGAAAAGGCTCACCACTAGGATTGCAAGAAGAAAAAAAAGGGTGAGGGCAATGATTGAGAAAAAAACAGAAAAAAAGAAACTTAATTTACAAGAGACATAAATTGATACGCATTAATTTGTTTCATGCCATCTAAATATTGTGAGATTTTAAATAAAAATTATAATTTTATATATATACTTAAAAGAAACACTTGAATTGATATGCAATTTGTGTAATACCACATAAATTTATATTTTAATGCCATGATTTTCTCTAGCATAATACCATCAATAAAATATTTTTATTTTCAAAATGCATAAGATACAAAATGTACTACACAATCAATAACATGGCGCATCCCAAATGGAACCACATGTTTGTAATATTTGTACATGGTTGGTTTTTATGGCAGCAATGTAAAATGAAGTACTAATTGGTACAATCACAAAGAAACAAACAAAAAAGAACAAATCCTTATTCATCAAATCTTGGAAGAAGACGAAATAATAATCCAACCCAACCTGCTCTTATTTAGTCATGTTTCTGCTTTACTCCATCCTGTCCTTGATGCCGGAAGTAGTTCTGATCTTCTTCCCTGCCCGCTTGATGTACTCTGAAAATTGATTGTCCTTTGATTCTTTTCCACCCTGATTGTTTGCTCCCCCAGAACTGCTTCCCTCTCCCATACTTGACATTTTTTTGATCTTATCCTTTGAACGATTAATATAATCAGTGAATTGATTCTCAATATTTTGTGCTGTTGTCTGTTCTGCTGCCTTTGGGTTTTCCGGTACCAGAATATGGGACGGTAGCTCTTCAGGCTGTCCATTTCCCTGCTCGGTCATCTGGGGTTGATGAACCTGTCGGAGTTTTCCATTTTTCCGGGGGCTTGCTTTCTGCTGGAACTGGGATGTGTAGTCAAACTCAACGGGAACAACTTCTTCTTCTCTGTTCTTAGGACTGGGGGGTGAGGATCCCCACTGCTTGGTCGGAAAGCAACACATTTTCCTAAACAACTTCTCACAGCAATTCTCTTGGTTCTTTTCCATTAAGGAGAGAAAGGAAAACTACTGAAACAGACCAAGTTTAGGACGTATGAAATGAAGGAAAGTTGCACTATAACAGGGGCAAAACAGAGCTGGTTTTTATAGTCTAAATTGCAGAATTAATTAACCCTAACTTGCAAAAGAAGAAAAGATAGCATATTCCCATGCCAACATATTTCTCTCGTATGAAAAAGACAATGCTAGCTTTGTAGACTTCTGGAGGGAAATTAGACTAAGATTCCATGAAATTTCTGAAGGAAAGAAAGAAATTTGTTCAATGGTTTTTTAAAAACAGTGAAGTGATGGATCATCCAGTTTTATTTTCTTTCCTTCCCTTCATTTTCTTAACAAGAAAACATGTAGAATCTACGACTACAGCTTTAGACAGCACACGTGACTTGTTGTAGTAAAGAATAAGAAGAACAAACCAGCTGCGGATCGATAACGACTGTTGAAGATTGAGAAGGTATCTGATTCACTATGACAAGTTAATGATTATTGTATATAGAGATCGATTCTTAGGTCCTCATCTGACAGTTCAAGGGTTGGATATTTTAAACTAAGACTGTTCTTGATATGAATTCGGAACTTCTTTGACCAAGTGTGAGTAAAGATATTTCAAATCCTAAATGTACATGGGTTTGGCAAGAAAAAAAAGGGAGGTGCCATGGTGGTCTTCTGGGGAGGGCGGTTTAGCCACAATTATGTGTGGTTATAGATTCTCTTGTTAGTTCTTCACGCATTAAGTTTTCCTAAAATGACTTGCTTCTGAATCTATCCATAATTTATGAGAGAAAATTCAATGAGTGCCAATTCCAGCATATGCTCTCAGGTTACCTTCACTTGGATTCGGAACTTTTGGGAAAGCCCTTCCAATATGAAGAAGAGTTTTCAAAACTCATCTTCATTGGTTGCTTTGGAACCTTTTCTTGTTGGATTTCTAGGTGCCTTTTGAAATTCGTAACCCTTTTGATTCTTCTGTGGACCATGTTACACGACTTTTTCCTACATTGTTTCGCTGGATTTTTCTTTGCCACTTCCCACGAGCATCTTCCGAGAGATACATCAGCTCTGTTTCTCTGCTAAGCTAAAGATATAGCAAACAGATTCTCAGCAGGATGCGATTGTGACTTGTGAGAATTCATTTAAATTGGTCATGTGACTATTGTTTGTGACACTTCATCATGGTCTAATACGCTTAAGTTATCTGTGGATAATGCAAGTGGCAGCAATTGTTTAAACGTAATCTTAACATTAAAAATATGAGTTATTTGTTTTGCAATTTAAATTATATCAAATTACAAAATAGAAACCATTGGATAAAGTGACCCCCAATATTAAGAGGCTTGTCCCCATCAAAACCAGACTGCACAACAGCACATATGGAATATAGGTAGTTTATTTAAGGGTGCGTTCGGTCCAGCTTCCCAAGTGCTTCAACTTTTTGATACTATTTATATTTCATAAGTTTAAATTTTCCTCTTAAAAACTTATATTTTTAAATATTTTTTAACGTTAAAAAGATCATAAACAGTAAAAGATCAAAAGCTTCAAATTCAATTTTTTCATAAACTTACTTTTTACTTACTTTTTACTTACTTTTTCCTATCTCGAAAGCAATTTTTAAATTTTTCCTCCAATAAAAATTTAAATTTATCATTCATAAATAGTTAAAAAGAAAAAGCAAAAGCTCAAACAAGCCGCACCAAACAGCCCCAAGTATCATTAAAATACAGGGAGCTGAACTGATTATCAGTTTGAAAAGAAACAAAATATTTACAACAAGACATTGGATATTATGGAATTTACGGAACAATAAGTGATTACAATTAAGAGGGTCTTAACTTTGAGCTATCAAATCTAGCTTAGTAGCTTTTTGTAAAAGAATCAAGATCTTGATTCCCAAGCAATTACATTTATTCATGAAATTTGCTAGTTAAAAGTCTCATAAGCAAAACTTCAATGGGGGTAGACTTTCACCACCTGCTCAATCTGTTTCCGGCAAAGAGGACAGTTGGTCAAGGGCAAGGAGCATGACAAACAACAGCACATATGACCGCACCTGCATATCATAACCAGCAAGCCATTGCTTCATTCCAAATGGTGAAACTCTCAAAATCACAAAAGTGAAAATATGTAAATGGATTTATGGTTAGGATATATGAAGAAACACAACTCCACAGGAGGCTTATTTGATATCGACCATTTTGTCAATCAGATATGGATGGGCTACTTTGTACACGTAAGTAAAATGGAATTAATGTACTTACTGAACAAAAACAGAATTGCACTTCAGCTCAAGACATATAACACAGAGATCTGGCATTGGGTGATCTATCTTAGTTTCTGATCCAACTTTGGCATTCCCATTTGTACCTGAAATATTGTTTCTAACATTCCTGTAACACACACAAAACCTTTAATAAAAACTATTTTGCAGACACCAAACATTTTACCTTCATTATCATGGCCCAACCTCTTAGCAACAGCAGCAAGAACCCTGAATTGACATTCACAAGTCAATTAGTGAAGTCTTTATTATTTTTTGAAATAAGACTATAAGAGTTTTGAGTAAAAAGTAGGAACAAGCACAGGATGAAGACTTTACGAGCAAGACTATGGTGTTAGTATAGTATTATTTTCAGTATTTTTATCATGATAAAAATATTGAAAGCCTCTGACAATCTAACTTTTGGCCTCAAAGTGGTTTCCCAAACTTAAAAGGAATTTTCATAATCATCAAAAGATCAACTTAGTGAGTACCAGCAATGGCGGCCTTGGCCAATAAATCTTAAAGAAAACTATCCCTTAACCACAACCATTGAACACTACTAATGACAACTAAGTAATAATTACAAGAACTTCGGGCCTTGTTGGCACTCGTCAGCAGGAAATATAGTCCAATAAGTCAATAACAGTACACCAATCCATTTGCAAAAATATTGCTCCATACCATGAAGAGATCTTGTTATATTAAGGGTAACAAGATCCAAATATAGTATTCTATTCTCAACAGTATATTGTACTTTTCCTTCTATCTGAAAAGAAGGTATGAACAATAATGAAACATACCTCTGCTGAAATTCCGATCTGCGTCTTTGCTCCTTTATATATTGTATGATACGACTGGTGATTAGAAATACGCCAAACACAGTCAAACCAACGGATGCGCACTTGTACCACCTGATAAAAACTCCACTATCATTTTGTTCAATTCTTTTCAAATAACCATCAAATATTTATTTTTACAGAAAAAGGAAGAAGAAAATTGTCCACCTCTATTGCATACTGACCTTGCCCACTTGCCAAGGTTGGAAACGAGTTCATCAATGGTTTGTGGAGATATGTAGAAAGGCCCTTCATGGGGTTTCTGGATCTGAATTTTTCCAATGTCATCCTTGACAGCCTAACCATGTATTTGAGAAAGAAAATCAGAAGACGCCAAAGAAATTAGTTATGTCATTCAGACATGCAGGTTCATCTAGTGATGCAAGTAGACTAAGTTCTTAGTAAGGAATCTCCACTTCAGAACATTAATATGAAACAACATATTTATTGCCGATCAAAAAGAATATGAAACAACATAATGAAAATGTACACTAATCCAAATCCATTGCATTTTTCTGCGACATATAATGGCAATTTCAAATGCTGGAATCTACATGGATCTTTTAGGCTGCAATTATAGGTTTATTGCACAACAATGGTAATCATCAATCAAATTAAGCATTTCAACATTCAGTACATTTCATTCTTCACTCTTTACCTTTAGTCAGTTCCTAGCAAATACCATTTGAGAGCGGATAGCCTACTGCTAGTTACAGAAGAAATAACTCAGATAATTCATCCAAAACCTACCTCACCAACAACTGTTAAAGAAGTACCAGCAGGAAGCACCCTTTCAATGTGCTTGACTCCAAGCATCTACGAGCATAACCACTCAATTAAACAAGCTCAACCAAATGGTGTAAGGGTTAACGTAAAACTAGAAAACTAAAAATGATTACCTTGAGACCTTGGAGATCATCTAATGCTCCACACACAAGTGATTGTCCTGATTTCTGAAAGACTTCACTTGCAACAGTTAGTTCAAAACCTGCCCCACCTCGGGCTCCCACTACATATACACGGCCAGTCCCATCATCCTGATAGCAAAAATGGCAAATTGCAAACATACAACAAAACTGCTAATACCAATGGTGGACATCCATGCAATACATCATATTTGTAAGCCTCCATGTTCATTATCAAAGGTAATAAAAGATCAACGAACCAGAAATATAGACGAGATACTATTAGTAGACTAATCAAGCAAAAGTGCAAGAGAAGAATGTTCTTACCAGGTACCATGGAACCTCTTTATTCATAGCCAACATCAAAGCAGAATCTTGTATCCAAGAACCAGAATCATTGTGTTTTAGAAAGTGTTGTTCTATCTGAAAGATGTGCCAACACAAATTCTCATATTCCAGTGAAGAAAAAAAAAATCCAACAAAATGTGCGATTAATTTCCATTTAGATCAAAAAACTTATACCGTTTCCTCTTCAATAACAGCTCTTAAGCCGCTCTGCTCGCACTTGATCGGTGTCTCAGACCCAACTCTTCCAGAAATTGTAACAATCAAAGGATGCACTTTACTTTCAGTGTCTAGTATCCTAGCTGAAATGTTAAAGAAGACACAGCAACAAGCTCAGAAATTAATTGCAAAGAACAAGAAAATGCAGATTAACACCGCTACATACCAGAAACATTCTTCCAACTTATCTACCATAATTGCCCGTGAATCAACCTCAAGAAATTATAAAAAATTAAAAATAAAAATCTAAGCTTTCCCTGAAAGGGAGGTGGGAAAAAGAAAAATGCTCATACCCAATTCTTCAAGCTGATTAACTCGAGTAACCGACTTGAGAAGCTCAGAATCCCTGCTCCATCAAAATTCAAAACATAAGGAAACAAACTACAAATTTCTCCAAATTGAATGGTACATGCAATTTCAGAGCCAAACCTGCCACGACGCCGGCCAAGGAGATAGAGAGCGGCGGCGCTCAAGCAGCAACCGAGGCCGCCCCAAGGAAACATCTTTCAGGAAACTTCAAAAAACAGAGAAAAACCCCAGTTTGTAAACACATCAAGTAAGCTCCTTTATTCTTCAGAAACGGTATGGAATGCTTTCGTGATAGCAGGGACAAGTAAAGGAGGAGTCCGACGAACGGAAATAATGAAGAGAAAAAGATACCAAGAGTGCAAGAGAGGGATCGGCGGCGAACTGTAGTGCGTGCTTGTGCGCCGGAATAACTGCTTACCGGGATGTATGTAGTACGCATGCTCCGACTAGCTGGCTGGCGACGTTGTGCGTGCATCTCCCTTCATAAACCGACTTCTGTTACCTACGGGGGATGCTGACACTTTTCTAAAGTTCCCGTTTCTGTAGTACTGACACAAAATCGCTGGGAGAAGACCACCACATTTGGGGCGCCTGTGACTTTCCTGTCACTTGAATTCTTTGAGTTATTTTTAGCATTTTCAAACTTTAACATCACAATTAAAAAAAAATGTAAACTTAATTTTTTTTATGTTGGTTGCATGAGGAGAGTAATTTTTTTTTATTTTTTATCTCATTTTATTTATGAATAATGATAGAGCAGGTGATTTTTATGGGATGAAAGTGAAGAATGATCTATATGATAAGCTTAAATTGATTATTTATTTTTAATTATTTTATGTCTTTCACTTTAACTTATTATGTAGATGTCTTTTATTTTCGTCCTACAAAAACCATTCGCTTTATAATTATCTTTAAAATAATTGAATAAAATGGGGTTAATTTTTTTTTTTTTGTATTTAAATATATAAAAACTATATTTATATATTTAATATTTATTTTAATTAATATTTTATATTATCTCTATATTTTATATGGGTTAACTTCATTTCTTAACTTTTTAAATATAAATTTTATATAAAATTTTAACATGATATATAAATGACAAATTAAAATTTTTTTTCAATTAAATGAAATTAGTTAATAAAAATTAATTGTAAAAAATATTCAATTATCATTTATATACATTTTTTAAATTTAAATTTTCATCTAAAAAGTCTGAAAAATTAAAACAATTATACTAAAACGGAGTGACTATATGTTTAGAATAGTTAAAAGGTAATTATATATGGATAATTTATTTATATAACTTTTATTAATAATTTTAAAATGTAATAAAATAAATTATTGGATATAATATCATATGAATCTAATATTATAAAAATTGAATTATTAATTAACATATAAGATTATAAAAAAATTTATACAATAAAAAGATTATCTCTTAATCATTTATTAATAATTTTAAAATGTAATAAAATAAATT